ACAAAATCGGATCGGGATACCTCGAAATCTCTGAGAATCGGCGGGTGTGGAGGATGTACTGGGCGCCGCGGACTCTCCAGATCGCTCCGGAACGCTCTGAGAGCGCTCCGGAGCGCTCTGGAGCGATTTATCCCGATCCTATAGCCCTGTTGCACAACTTCCCAGCGGCCGATCTTAGCCGCCACGGATGTCGCGGCCCTCGCCCGGCTTCCGACTCTCGCTCGCGGGCGCGTCTGGCCGCAGCGCGGGCCTCGCGGAGCCGCACAGCCGCCGTGCTGCCGCGAGGAGCGGCGAGGCAGGGAGGGAGGGGCGTGCTCTGGTCACGGCGAACCGCCTCGGCCACTCGGAGGCCCCACGACCTGCATCTGAGCAGCGGCCCGAAAAGAGGCGCCCCTGCAGAGCTCGAGCTGGCCTGTCTCTTCAGCGTCCTGACTGTGCGTGGGCGTGCCTGGGCAACATCGCAGATCAGCGACAAGCCGGTCACGACCACGGCGCTAAACGGGGCCACCTCAGGCAGGCTCCAAACTCGGCGGTGGACAAACCTCCCTTTAGCAGGCCTCCCCTGAGTGAAAACGACTTGGGACCGAAACCGACAGACCTCGACCCGCCAAAATGACGGCCGCGGCGCCCTCTCGCGAAACGAGAACGGCCAATTCCTTAACCGACGTGGCAGGGTTGGAGGTCAGTCCACCCCCGACAAACAGCCCCGCGTGCAGAGGCGCGCGCAGGGCTGGGAGGGGCCCGGGCTGGCGGGCCTCCGACGCGCGACAACCTGGCCCTGGTGAGCGAGATCGGCAGCTGGGACTTTCCTTCCTCGTCGAACGCTCCATCGATCACCACGCCAGCATCGTCTGGTGCTGCGGTGTCCTCTCACGGCACCGGCGGAGACGTCAGAGCATTCAAGACCAAGCCCCATGTGGCGGACTTCGAAAACCCTGAAACCAAAAAGTGTTCAGCTCTTGGGGCCGCATCTTTTACTTCCGCCACCTTCCGCCGCCCTTCCGCCGGCTTCTGCCGGAGCAGGCGGTCTCGTTTTACTTCTGCCGCCTTCCGCCGACCTTCCGCCGCCTTCCGCCGCCTTCCGCCGCGGAAGAGATGACAAGTCCTTCGACCCTCGAAGGCAAAGCCCTTTCTGGAACGCCCCATGCATGCCCCTGGCCATAGGCATCGGCGACCGGGATGGGCCCTCGGGTCAGCCGATAGTGCCGCACGTGCACTCCGGCGAAGGCCGCGAGCCGCTGTGCCACAACGGCGCCAGCGGCGGAGTGGGGTGGGACGCACCGTGTGCCTTAGGTCGGGCATGTAGCCCTACAGGCGGATTTTGAGCGAAAAATTGCAAATATTCAAAGAATGCGCCAAACAAATGTATAATTACCCCAGTGCGACCCTACCTAGAAGTTGGAGCCCCTAGGAAAGCAGCATTAGTTGCTATGCTATGCTATGCTATGCTGTGCTAGGCTATGCCATGCCATGCCATGCGATGCTGCGCTATGCTATGCTATGCTATGTTATGCTATGCTGCGCTATGCTATGCTATGCTATGATATGCTATGCTATGGTAAACTATGATATGCTATGCTATGCTACGCTGTGCTATGCGATGCTATGATATGCTATGGTATGTTATGATATGCTATGCTATGCTATGCTGCGCTGTGCTATGCTGTACTGTGCTGTGCTGCGCTATGCTATGCCATGCTATGCTATGCTGCGCTATGCTATGCTATGCTGGGCTATGCTATGATATGCTGTGCTGGGCTATGCTATGCTACGCTATGCTATGCTGTGCTCTGCTATGTTAAAGCTCAGCGGCGCTAAGATGAAGGTAAGCTAAGCTAAGATAAACCTGAGCTAAAATGAAGCTAAGCTAAGCTAAGATGAAATAAGCTCAGATCAGATGAGATAAGCAACGCTAAACTAAGGAGACGTAACTGGGGGAACCGCGGGGCGGATGCCGGGGGAACCGCCCGGGGCGTTTTCCACTGCCCGGCCCCTTTAAGCTCTAAAGTAAGAACCCTTCTAGGCAGAGCCTAGGTAGGGAAATAATCAAAAATCGTCCCCGAACTATTGTTTGACTATGTTTGCACAGTCCTCCTGTAGAGGGACAGGCCCGACTTAACGTGAGCCTCTGGAGGACGCGGTTTTCTCGAGAGGGGCTCTGCGCGGGCGCCGTCTGGGCCGACGCCTTCGCGAAGCTGGGCGCCCCATGGTCAACGTTTTCCTATTCGGCGTGTCGACATTGGGCGGGAGGGGGGGTGGAGGGGGGGGGATACCCTAATCGCCATCACCACCACCATCATCGCCGTCATCACCATCACCATCACCATCACCACCACCATCACCATCCCCACCATTACCATCATCATCATCGCCACAACCACCACCATCATCATCAGCATCATCAACCTCATCATCATCATCATCATCATCATCATCATCATCATCATCATCATCACCATCATCATCAACATCAGCATCATCAACATCATCATCGTCATCACTCTCACCATCACCATCACCATCGTCATCATCATCATAAACATCATCATCGACACCATGACCACCACCACCATTTCCATCATCATCATCATCATCATCATCATCATCATCACCATCATCACCATCATCATCACCATCACCAAAATCACCACCATCAACACCACCACCACCACCATCATCATCATCATCATCATCATCATCATCATCATCATCATCATCATCATCATCATCATCATCATTCTTCTTTTCATTATTCCCATCCCTCCCGGTCTCCCTCCCCCTTCCCTGGCCTCTGTCCTTTTCTCCCGCACCTCTCGCCCATGCTCCTCTCTCATCAATCGCCCTTCCTCCTCTGCTTCTCGCCGATCCTCCTCGACCTGTTTGACGCTAGGCAAACATGAGGCGGGGTCTGTTGCATCATGCGATGATGCAAGTAATCGCTGGCTTAGGCAAAGCAGGCCGCGGACGGGTGCAGGAACGGCAATCCAAAAAGCAAGGGCAAAGACTGGTGGCCCTCAAGGGCGAGAGCAACCCAGTCCGCGGCGACAGGTGAGGGGAGGTATCATCCTCTTCCTCCAGCGCCCCCTGCCTCAAAACAGACAGCAGCGCAGCAGGAGTTGACCCCGAACAAAAATGGGGAGAGACTGGCTGCAGGCGCGGGCGGCCTGGCGCAGCGGCTGCTGTAAGAACTGTGTCCCACCCCGTTCCAAAAAGGTTGGGTAAAGCTCCCGCCGCCTCCCACATGTACAGGCATGGCAAGCGCAGTCAGAGTAAAGTGCGGGCTAACTTGAAAGAGTCATGGTGAGAGAAAGAGAACAGAAGTTTGGTAAACCTCCCCGTTCCAAAAGTTAGGTAAACCTCCCGCCGCCTCCCACATGTACAGGGACGGCACGCGCAGTCAGAGAGTAGAGTGCGGGTCAACGCGAAAGAGTCCTGCCGAGAGGAGAAAGAGAGAACAGGTGGCGCGTGCGCCATAACTTTCGGTCGGGCAGGTCCCCCTCTACAGGCCAATGTTGGACGGAAAACAAAAAATAGTCAAACAGTAACCCAAGATGATCAAAAATACTGCAAAAGTCGTCCCCTGACTATGTTTTGACTATCTTTGAAGATTCCTCCTCCTGTAGAGGGACAGGCCCGACTTAAATCATAACTGCGGCTGCGCGGTGCCTCCGGGCTGGCGCGGGCGGCACCGCCTGGCCAGGGCAGGACTACAAAAGGAGCGCAGAGCAGAGCGCCCGTGGCCGAGTGAAATGACGGGCACGTGGTGACAGAGACGGGGCATCGAGGGAGTGGTCCTCCTCCTCCTCCTCCTCCTCCTCCTCCCCTCCTCCTCCTCCTCCTCCTCCTCCTCCTCCTCCTCCTCCTCCTCCTCCCCCTCCTCCTCCTCCTCCTCCTCCTCCTCCTCCTCCTCCTCCTCCTCCTCCTCCTACGCCTCCTCCCGCACGAAAGGAAGAAGGGGAGCCGAGATTGAGCGACGAGTGGTGAGGACGGTGGAGGGGGGCAGGATGCAGGAGATCCCCCTCTTGGACCTCCCCAGATCCACCTCCCTCTAGGGCTCCTCCTCCTCCTCCTCCTCCTCCTCCTCCTCCCCATCCTCCTCGCTGACGAGCTCCTCCTCGTCGGTCCTTTTCCTCCTTCTTTTCATTTTTCGCCTCCTCCCAGCCACCCTCCTCTCCGTCCTCCCTCACCTTCCACCCCCCCTTCCCCTGCCCTCCCTCTCTCTCTCCCTCTCTCTCTCTCTCTCTCTCTCTCTCTCTCCTCCACCCATCCGACGTTGCGAAAGATCGCGGCTGGACTGACTCTCCTCCTTGCGCCACACATCTCAAGCCGGATCGAGGTGTGGTCCCGGGCGGGCCCGACGCTGGGCGAGCACGCCCAGTGTGCAAAATAGTGCGCTGCCTGGGTATCCGGTCCGGGTCCTCCTCTGGAGTTATGCTGCTCCCATCGTACTGGAAGACCACATCCCAGACACAAGTTCGAGCTCCCAGAAAAGTGTCGAAAGAGTGGCGATTGAGTTTCGAACAGGGCCCGGCACGCGAACACCCTCGAGTTTTGTGTTGTGCGCTCGAAAGTCTTTCTGGTGATCAAGGCTAAAGCAGGTCGGAACATCATAACTCTGGAGGACGAAGCAATGCATGAACACAAATTGTCGGAGGTCCGCGCGGATCGCTTGGCTCTGCGCTGGGGCCCCCTGCCGGCGCCGGCGCCGACCCTGGCGCGCTCCGCGCGCCGTGGAGGGGGGCCCCAGCGCGGATCCAACTCGTGGTGGTGGTGGTGGGAAACAGGCCCATCATGCACCCCTCCCCCTCGACCCTCCGACTCGCGCCGATCCTCCTTGCGGGGGCGCGCAGACATGGATCAGCGATCCGTGGATCTGGCCGCGGTCGCCAGATCCGTGGATCGGGGGAGGTGCCCTCCCCGAAATGCGGCCGCGCGCCTGGGGACAAGGTCCAGGAGCGGGGGGTCTACGGACGGGCATGAGCCAAAATGGCTACGGATCCTCCTCCTCCTCCTCCTCCTCCTCCTCCTCCTCCTCCTCCTCCTCCTCCTCCTCCTCCCCCTCCTCCTCCTCCTCCTCCTCCTCCTCCTCCTCCTCCTCCTCCTCCTCCCCCTCCTCCTCCCCCCGTCGCTAATCCACGCCCCCTCGATCAATGTCTGCGATCGCCCGATCCTGGCACCCTCCCCCCTCGACCCTCCGACTCGCGCCGATCTCCTCTGGGGCCCCCTCTTGCGACCCCTGCGCTGCCGGGCGCCGGGCAGCTGGCGGACCTTCCGCACGAAGGAGGTGAAGAGCCCGGCGTACGAGGCCTCCCCCTCGGCCTTGGGCCGGAACTCCCGGAGGACCTTCTCCTGCACCTTTCGGCCCCCTTTCAGGGCTACGTAAGACTCGGGTACGGGGGACTCGGGTTGGCCAGACGGGGCCTCCGTAAAAAGGACGAGGCCCAAACTGAAATTCGGCCCCGAACTCCCGCTGCAAACATCCCACGAAAACTGCACCGTCAACATCCAGGACGCGCTCGTCCAGAAACGTCGGCAAACCCGAGTGCCGGCTTACACGTCGTTCATCTCTAATCGCGCTCATTTCTAATTGTGCTCGTTTCGCAGGAAGAGGCCAAGATAGAACAATCAGAAATGGCAGGATCTTGGCCCCCCAACAAATCAAGAAGCCCCCAGAGCACTCCAGGGGAGGGCCGTTTTTCGACACCCCTCACGAGGATCGTGGCCTCCCAGGGGGGAGCCGCAATCGACTACCCCCCCTCCCGCCCCAAGAGGCCCCCCAAAAGCCCCACAAGAGGCCCTGGGGGCCCCCAAGACGCCGCCAAGGAGCCCCAAGAGACTCCCAAGAGGTCCCCAAGAGGCCCTAAAGAGGCCCTAAAGAGGGCTCCAGGGCCGGCGGCAAGAGCGAAGCGATTAAACAATTAGACATGAACAATGTGTACTCGAGTCTCACGTGTCCCCGGCCCGTGCTCCCGACGAGGGAAGGCCGCCCGAGGACGAGAGAGAGCGTCAGGGGGGGGACCGGCTCGGAGAGGAAAGCCGGAGCCAGAGTCGGGGATCTCCTGACCCGGGTCAATCCAGACCCGGGTCAGCAGGAAACCGAAACACTGCAACGCAGGAAACAAAAAAACTGCAACGCAGGTCTTCGCAAACCGGGGTCAGCCAATATGCGCGGCCGCCTCGCGGCCACGAGCGGCTCGCTGACCCGGGTCAGCCAAAGGGGGTCTTCGCAGGATCCTGCAGGATCCGGTGCCCTGGCTGACCCCCGTTTGCATGGACCCCCGTCTCGAGGCTCCCGACAGAGAGCCGGCGATACATAGCAGGTGGCGAATCCGCGCGTTCCTGGGTGGGGTGGGCTACCCAGACCCCCTCGGGCAATGAAAAAAACATGACAGGAGGTTTTTCCTAATTTTCGGCCTCCAAGGGCCCTCACTGGGCCTCGGGTCCGTCAAACAACGACTCAGGATGAGAGACCGGTCCTGGGGAAGGGGTCGAGACCTCTGGGGCAGGGCTGAACCTAAACGGTGCTTTTCCTTTCCGTTTTGTTTTCGTTTTCCCTCGCTCTGTCTTCAATCCACCTCTACCGCAAAACGAAGTCGAAACGAAAACGGCCCACGCAATCGCCAAAACACCGTTTAGGTCCAGCCCTGCTCGGGGGTCGACGTAATAAAACATTCATGACGTCGGGGGTCTGGGTATCGGGCCCCTGTCGGCGACGGATGGGCGACTGAGGGGGGCGATGCGTCCCGCCTGAGCCTGTCCCCGTAACGTTGCCACTGGGAGAGGGAGGAGGAGGAGGAGGAGGAGGAGGAGGAGGAGGAGGAGGAGGAGGAGGAGGAGGATCAGTGGAAACCCAAGACTCATCTACGATGTTGGAATAAACTCTCCCTCCCAGCTCCCTCTTCGTAGACCCCTACAAGGGTTAACTCCCACTGACGGATCTGCCCCGTTTGGAGAGAACGATTTGAAGACCCCGAAGCATACCAAAGTACCATGCTCCGGACTCCAACGCCATGAATCAACATGATTGTTGCGTCTTGGCGATCCAGAACCCTGCCAGAACACCATTCCTGGGACTTTGACACCGCGAATCAACGTCACTACTGCGCCCTCACAACCCGAGCCCTTCCAAAACATCATTCCTGGCAGGTTGACCGCGGGAATCCGTGAAACTCTTGCAAAGGTTAAGAACGAATGTGCGTGGCGCTAAGGCGAGAGCCATATATTAAACGACCCGACCTAAATCCTTGAAGCTCTTTCACGTCTTGTTAAACGAATGTGCACGGCGCAAAATACGAGAACCACGTTTTGAAAACCAACCGTCCTCAATCCGTCAAGCTCTTGATTTGTTCACAAACAAATGTGCGCGGCGCTCAGGCGAGAGCCACATTTTGAAAAACACCCGCCATCCATCTGTGAAGCTGCTGCCAGCTTCTAAGCTTCAGGGTCATAAATTGTGAGGAAGTCTCAGGCGAAACGGCCGGCCCGCCCTTTCGACCGCCCTCGGGGGGCGACAGGGAGGAGTTTCCACAACGAAAAAAAATGGAGGAGAAGAAGGAGGAGGAGAAGGAGGAGGAGGAGGAGGAGAATAAGGAGGAGGAGGAAGGTGGAGGAGGAGGGGGAGTAGACGTAGCCTGAGGCGCGAAGGACGATGGGGGGGAGAAGGAGGAGGAGGAGGAGGAGGAGGAAGAGGAGGAGGAGGAGGAGGAGGTGGAGGAGGAGAAAGGAGGAGGAGGAGGAGGAGGAGGAGGAGGAGGAAGAGGAGGAGGTGGGGAGGGGGAGGAGGAGGACGGAGGAGGAGCCAACGCAAATAATAATAATACGATAGACGTGCAAATGCCGTCGCACATTGCGTGGCAGAGTTCGACTCTCGAGATTTGCGTACTGAGTAGGGTAAGCGAGAGGAGGGCGAGGAGGGGGAGGGGGCAAGGGCGGGGGGAGGGAATGGCGGAGAAGGGAGGAGGCAGGAAAAACGAGGGCGGGATGCAGGGCGGGGGAGGGGGACGAGGTGGAAGAGCGGAGGAGGGGGGTGGTGGAACAAGGGGTGGGCGAGGAGACCAACAACACACACAAACACACGAGCACTCTTCCGTCGTGGCGCGGCAAAGGCGATCCGCTCGCGCGTCCGAGCAACCCGGTCTACGGCGTTGCGAATTGCCCCGCATGCAGGAAAAAGGGAAGAGGAACATAGGGACGGCCGCAGGGACAGGCCGTATACACACAAACACATGTTTTGGCGCCGCGGTCTCGCACGCACCGTCGAGGAGCAGAAAGTCGGTGAGAGCAAAGCAACGGACGCGCGCGACCGGCCCGTCAGGAGACGGAGCAGGGATCCACACGAAAAATCACCATGCCAGGTGCGTACCCAAGCATGGGCAGCGTGGGGGGGGAGGCGAGGCAGGAAGCCGACAGGCCAACGACGACAATACACGAGCAAACAAAGCGGGGCAAGATGCCACTGGGACGACTGGCGAGGACGAAAAACATACATGCGTGCACCAATCAGATTTGCGAAAAGAACGACGTCCCCGTCCCAGAAGAACCGCCTCGCCCGCGGCGTACCCGCGCCCGCCTGCTGCGAGGAGCACGCGAAGAAGTCGTAGGCCCTCTCGTCGACAGGATACTCGGGACGGTGCACCCCTCGTCGTCGTCGTCGTCTTCGTCGTCGTCGTCGTCGTCGTCGTCATCGTCTCCGCTTCCTCCTCCTCCTTCTTCTCCTCCGTCTTCTCGTCCGCCTCTTCCTCCTCCTCCTCCTCCTCCTCCGTCCTCCGTCCTCCTCCTCCTCCTCCTCCTCCTGCTCCTCCTCCTCCTCCTGTCAGACCTGCCAGACCTGGCGGACACCCTGTCATCCAAAGAACAACGGGTGCCGATTTCAAATTCAGTTTCCCAGGACGAACTTGGCTGGCCAGAGGCAGGGGGCAGAAGCGGAGGCGAGGGAAGAGGGAAACGGGAGCAGCGATGCAGGTCCCCGTGCGGAGCCAGAACATGCTGGCCCTTCTCTCGGGACGGGAGTGCACGACTTCCAGGACTCCCGAGATCTGCCGCGGTCCTCCAACTGTCCTTGTCGGACCCAGGGTTCCAACAACCCAAGCCCCTTGTCCAGGATGTCTTGGGGAGTTTCTTGACCGCCAGGATACAGTGCGCGCTCAGCAATCGATGCTTGGAAGGGATGCCAGAAGCTGCGCCCCTTCCGCCAGTGCCCGCGAAAAGGTCCTCCCCTTGTCCGAAGGTGGCGCCACTGACGAAGCAGTCGACTCCTGTACTCCTCCTTGTTCTGCTTACCTTCCTCCCCGAACAAGGCAATCATATCCTTGAAACACAAGTAGACCCACTGAGTAGCGCGGCCTGGGAACGCTGCAGACAGCTTCTCAGTGACGAGGGGGGTTGAAACGCGGACATACTCGAGCACAATCGGCGATCCACCTGGTAGGCCATCACCTTTGGCCTGGGTTGCCTCGACAACCTCTCCCCAAGCGCGCGAAACCCACTGTTGATAAACATCATTAAGGAGACCGATGCCACGCTCCTTCTCAGACTCCCCAAGCCTGAGCTCCAAGAAATCCTTGAGCATGCACTCTAGGTCCGAGAAATCCGCATCAGGCAGCGTGGGCCCAATTGCTGGGACCGCGGGGGGCATGACAGAACTTTCGGGCACATCCACAGTGACATCTTTCATGGCCTGCATGATGGTGAGGTTGACGGGTCTGTCGGGGCTGAGCGGGGCCTCGAGGTCTGTCTCAACTTTCGGGATGGCATGGTCTAGGTTCCTGTAGAGCACGAAGTAGCCCAGCGTGGTGGCGACCCCAGAAGACGCAAATGTAGGTACTGCAGGGGCTCTGATCATCGCGCCCACTGGGTTCATCGGAGACCCGTCGAAGAAAACCGTCGGGAACACGTTGAAGTCACCGCCCAAGGTATACGGGAGCCCATGCTGGAAGGTGTCCTCCCAGACCGCCTCCATGACCTCAGCGTTCTCCCCCTTGAGCCCCATGGAGTCCATGAG